CACGCAATCTAACCCAACCACCTCTATTGTGCATAATATTGGTCGCGAAAGCCTGCTACGTGTTCAACTGAGCAGCAGATTTGACTGCCAACCTCCCCGTGCCCCACCTTGTATGTTTGTTGAACTTCTTTCGCACCGTACGTAGCCAACCGTGCTAATATGAGGTGCCGGGGGGGGAAGGACAACAAACTAAACACATAAATCAGTCACTAAAGAATGTTGTTTCTCAGTTTAGATGATTTCGAAGTGCAGAGCTCCCAGTGGTTTCATAATAACACGATAACTTCCACACGAGCTCACGTCTGGAGCCCCGTGACCCGCGCCTCACCGCCGGTCAGTCACACGAGAACAGAGGTTGGCAACCATTAATGCCAGAAAGGGTGAAACCTATTCTCATTCATACTCTTTGGTTAAATCGGTGAAGTCACGTAGGTATAAAATAAATAACGAAGTTTCGGGCGCAACACAAGCGTCCGTCATCAGGTAAGAAAGCATGGTCTGCTGCTGAGGCAGATTCTATTCTTATTTGTCATCGTTATGGATACCGGCAAAAAGGTCCCATAGATATAACTGCTGAAATCCAGCTATGGATACTTTCATACATGTGGCATTACCTTTGTGCTGTTCGCCTTTTGGCGTTCTCTGGTCTGACACTGGTGAGACGAGGCCCTCTCTGGTGTAGGCCAGTCAATTTCAACGACAATGCATTTATTAATCAGAGCATGTTTGTTTGCATGTTCACCACAAGTACGTGTGGTTAATGCAGACTTGATGCCTTGCAAAATGTTTCTGTGTGGTATTTGAACATCTTAACACCTGTTTCATTGCCAGAAAGAGTAAAACCTCTTCTTATTTGTCATCATAACGAGAATAGACATTTTTTTCCCGAATTCGGTATTTTTAAAAACCTCAATATTTCCAGAGCCTCAATGCACGTGAATAACGTCACAAATCAGTCCTTTAAATGGCCACGTGCATGCGGCTCCTCAGCCGCAAGATGCCGACCCCTGCAACGAGGACGACGTTGATGTTGGATAGGAGGGCATCGCCTCTCAAGCCCCCCCGGGGGGTTTAGTCTCCCGCCTCGGCCAAAGGTTCCCCCCGCCGCGTCTGGCGTGTGGTGCCACGTGAGGCCAAGCCCGGAGTATTGAGGCCTCGTCGCAGTGGGGCCGCGGGACGACCCCCTGCGTTGCGTAATCTCCCGAGGCATCGCGCGCGACTTCACCGGGCCGTACATAATCAGGCATGCGCGGACACACTGTTCCACCCGAGTGAATGCGAGCTCTGTCAGCCCGTTACCAAACTCGACAGAGTCCAACGTCTCAAGAGTAACACAATCGCATCGACTAAAAGCTTTGTCCAGCTTCCGTTGCGCGAGCACGACTTTGTGCGTTTTGTTTTAAAGGATGCAGGTGAGCCACCGATTTGCATCAAGATTCCCACAGGTGTACACCGCGTCCGACATCAACATCCCAATTAAAGGTCAAAAAACACCCACACAGAGGTTGCGGGCCAAGTCTCGGCATACACCTCCCCCCCGCCCCGCCCCAGATCAACCATCAGCACAGACACTCAGCGATCGTGCATCTGAAGTGACGGAGGAAGGAAACGTCGCCGTTCCGTACACGGGTGACCCGCTGACCCATCAATGTTTACTCGCGCTGGCAGCCGGCTGTGGGCAGTGGCATTCTTCAGTGCGTGGTGCCAGCGGCCCTGCGGCCACATGTCACACATTCTGGCAAACAGCCACAATTTCACTTGACTTTGAGACTGACTGCGCCAATGACAACTGCCCTCCTGTAAGCCCTAAACATTGGAGCCGGCCACTTGTCCTCCAGCCAAACCACCATTTCGTCAATGCCAGGGTCGGCCGGCTTAGCCAATTCAAACACGATCCGATCGCAAGACTGGCAAGGAGTCGCTTCACTTGTGCCAGCCGCACCTGCTGGCTGACATGGGCACCCGGAGAGCGACGCCGCCTATGTGGGTGTCCACGGCGCTCCGGCGCGCTTTTGTATTGCCCCACGGGGTCGCTCGCCACTGCTGCGCCGTTCGCTCCCAAGCGCTGAAGAAGCTCTTGGCAGTCGTGGACGTGGGCGCGGCATCGCCGCCGCTCGAAAGCAAATCGTCACGATGGGACCAGCGACAACTGTTGACGGCACCCCGCGGTAGCGCGTTCACCCCCTTGTTGCAGGGGTTTCGCGGTTCGACTACGGCACTGCCCTGGTTAACATTAACACTGCGGTGGGTGTATTAACCGTAGTAGTAATAATACTACTACGCACCGTCTGCTTAACGGTGAACGCTAAAGATCACGTGATGTCATTAACAAGAGTCGGGTCGGCGCCATGGTCCACATTTGCCTATATTTGAAAATTGTCACCGCAAATTACTCAATCAGGGAATTCACACCAGTAACCATCGGCCACCTACTGCGAAAACTTGGCAGGACCCTCCTGAAAAAAGTCGTGAGACTCGGTGAGGTTTTCGTGGGTAAACAAAGCTAAAAAAATGAAACAACTATCTAAATAATAATATCATATTGCCTTAGAGGGTGGGGAAGTGGGAGGGTGTAGAATCACACGCGCGTCCCACCAGCCCCTGAACTCGTAAAAGAGTCGCTTGAGGTGCACGGAGCTACAGCTGCAGATGCGATTCCACGCCGCTATGAATGGAGCGCCTCGGTGGGGAGACGTTACCTCTATCGCTGCTATAAATTCCCACGTGACGATCAGCCACTTCGTTGAGCTGAACGTTTGTGGCGAGGTCGCTTCTGATAAAGAGCCTGCCGTGGCTCAGTGGTAAGATAATAAAAATTATAGTTTCTAGTTGAGAATGCGCTGGAGGCTGGCCGCGATGCGTTTCGAGCGATAGAGGCCCCAGTGGAGTTTAATGAGGCACCCCCCCCCCCCCCCCAGGCATTGTGTTTGCACGGGGAACCAAGTAACGAGCGATGTCTGACTGTTGACACCGTCCGTGTTAAGTGGCCCCAGACTAATTAGCGTAGGCGTGTCTCGGTCCTGCGGGTTTGCTTTGAACACGTAGACAAATCAAACGCAACGAAAGCTGAAAGAGTGTTTTGTGTGTGTGTGCGGGGTGTGTGCAGAGCGGCGTGAAAGAAATGCGTGCTCGCAAACGACGCGGAGAGAGTGGAAGAGGAGGGCAAGGGTCAGGGGACAAAGCACAAAGCTTGGTCGTCGCATCACCACAGAGCAGGGATGGAGTGATGTGTGTATGTGTGTGTGTCGAACTTCTTTCGCACCGTACGTCCACAACCGTGCTAATCGGATGTGCGGGGAAACGAACAACAAACTAAACACGAAAGGTATTTCTTGAAGAAATTAGTTTTCAATCTAGATTATTTAAAGGTGCATAGCTCCAGTGGCTTCCTAATATCGAAAGGAAGAGCGTTCCAGACGGCCGCAGAGGCGGATATGATGGACACGGGCTCATGCGCTGGAGTCGGCTGGATTGTGGCTTCGCAGAGCTGTGTAGGCTGGCCATGGCTCGGGGAAGATATTAATCCAGCAGTGGACGAGACCGTGGCTCACAGTGAGTACACTGAACATGAAAGTCATACGGATTCTCGACGGTGGCCTTCCAGTGTACGGCGGTCGCGGGGACTTTCGACTATAGGGGCCATCCATTGAGTAGGTACGCAACAATCTGTTCAAACTTGACCCCTCCCTGTTGGCACGCGTACTTGTTACACCCCCCCCCCCCACCTGCGTGCGTACGCCTGACGCACCCCCCCCCCCCCCCCACCGAATCCTATAGAACAGCCGGTATTTAATCCACGCAGAAACCATCAAGGATTAATAATATTAACGTGTTTAAGTAAACAGATATTCCACCGCCGAACTATCTAACTAATTTGAAGGCCAATGTAGACAAATTATTATCGATGCTTCACCGCCCCCCCCCCGTTTTCTATGCGTACGCACATTGTCAGTAGACACCCCATACGCAAGCGTACGAATTTGAGTTAACCCCCCCTCCCCTCCATGCGTACGGACTCAATGGATGGCCCCATACTTCAGTCAGCTGGTGAGTGCGGGTTGGGGCGGGGTGCGAGGGGTGTCGCCCAGTCTCTCTCCTCGCCCCCGTGCACTGGAATTGACTGTTCTTGCACGTCAAAAAAACAATCACCAACCTCTCGCTGCCTCTTAAACCCCCACGTGTTATTCTCCATTGACCACCCTCACTTCTCCCCTCGCTGTCCTCCCTACTCGTGCTGACGCCGCTTTCCCTGTCCCCAACTCCGCATGTTCAACGCCACCATCAATCCACTCGTGTCATTTTACATCAACCGCTATTCCACGCACCGTCACCACCACCACCACCAACCACTTCATTTCACGTGGGTGGCCAGCACCACGCCCGGCCGCCTTTGTCTCTCTAGTGACGATGTTTACTACACACCGCACCAGGTACTCATTTGAGGCTGAGTCGACCTAGGAGAAGTCCAGGTAATCGTCACTGAAAGTTGGCGGTGAGCGGGCATCGCCGGGTTCGTAGCGCAACGCGCTAACCGTGACGTTACAGCTCCAAAGACAAAGATCCCCCGTATAGCCTGTAACAGACTTTTGGGGCAAGTGCTGTTAGCGAGCACCTATGCAGGCCGGCACGGCAAACGAGGGGGTGGGTGGCCAACACCACGCCCGGCCGTCTTTGTTTCCCTAGTGGCGATGTTTACTACACACCGCACCAGGTACTCATTTGAAGCTGAGTCGAGCTAGGGGAGGTCCATGCCCGGTTCAGATAATCGTCACCGGTGTTGGCCGTGAGCTGGAATCGAACCCGGGTCGCCGGGTTCGTTGCGAAACGCGCAAACCGCTACACCACCGGTCCCCACACCTGTACACACACACACGCGCGCGCACCTGTGCACACACACATACACGCGCGCACGTGCACACCTGTACACGCCACGAACTCTCACGTCTGCGCACCTGCACGGCTCTGCATACCACGCTCTATCACGCCTGTGCCAACCTCACCTGCGAGCGAGACGACGAGAAGCGCCACGCACGTGTTCACCAGCAGCTGCCCGGCCATCGTCGCAGTCGGTGCAGCGCGCAGAAGTTCTCTCCCTGCGGAATTTATCCCGGGTGGAAAGTGAGCCCCGGTTTAGCAGGAGCCTCGGCGCGACGTTCGCGTTGGTACGTTCGCTGCCGACTGCGCACGGCTCCACCACCGCGAGGGAGCGCGCGAGCGAGGGATGGCACAGTGGTAGTCGAAGGGGAGGGAGGGAGAGAGAGAGAGAGCGAGGGAGGAGATGAAGGGGTTAGGGTGGGAGAAAACTGAATAGAGGGAGGGGGGAGGGTGGGAGGGATGTGATGGAGTTGCGGGGGGGCGAGGAGCGGCATGGGGAGGGGGAGAGATGGAGCCGCTCGAACCGAACTTTACACATTTGGCGAAGTGGCGCAGCGGGCCCCTCCCTCCCACCTCCGATCCCCACTTAGGGGGCACTACCCGATGCATTTAGGAGGGAGGGAGGGAGGGGCAGACATTCATTACCACAGCCTCAGTGGGGGTGAGGCTGACGGGGCCTCCTCGTACGATGGCCATCGCCCGATCAGCAGCTGCAGGACCTGGCTGCGATGCCATCGGCGGCAATGACCACGTAGCTTCTTCGGCTTGAACTTGAGTGCCTGCTCAGCACACGACGTAGGGGGGGGGCGGGGGGGGTGCGGGGGGCAGTCATTGAGGGGCACGGGATTTCGGGTGCCCCCCCCCCCCCCATAGAATCGCGACGTCGTGGGAGACTCGAGCTCAGGTCCTGAAGTGGCGTGGAGGTGACATCTGCGACCGCACACGATCCTGATCCCTCTGTGGGTCAGCCACCCCCCTCCTCCAACCCTTAAGCCAAACACAAGACCTTGGCCATTGTCCATTGTCCCGCGTTCAGTCAGGAGTGGCTGGATGGAGGAAGTCCGGATCCTGTGGCTCTGGGGCGCACGGAGGTAGCGCAACACACGGCCAGTCGTGACACAGACAGACAGACAGTCGCACAGACAGTCAGACAGGCGGTCACATAGACGGACAGTTATGAAAACAATCACGGCGACATGAAAGACCGGCTGGGATCGGACCGGCCCAGCGACATTTCTAGGCGGTGAGTGAGAGGCGAGGGGGGGGGGGGCGAGACAAAATGTAGCGGTGGGAACGAGCGGACGGAGCCACCACGCACACAAAGATGCCCCCTGTAGCCTTAGCAGGCTGTTGGGGCAAGAGCTGCTGGCGAGTACCTATGAAGGACTGCACGGCGCACCTATGGGGGAGTGGTGTGGCCAACACAACGGCCGGCCGCCTTTGTCTCCCTCGTGATGATCTTCAACACACCGCCCCACGTACTCGTTAAGGCTGAGTCGACCTAGGGGAGGACCAGGAGCGGTTCGAATATGACTCGCCAAGAGCATGATAGCGACAGACATAATGACAACAGTTGCCATTCGCCGTGGCGGCAACGTGACCACGGTGCTTGTGCCAGGCTAGGTGCTCTTTGAGGCCACGTAAAATGTCGAAGGCTCTCTGGCAGGAGGTCACGGGACACACCCAGACATGCCCCTCCCCCCCCCAATGATCATTGGGGTTTATTATTAATAAAGCGACATTTTGCGACCCCCACTGCCACTGTGTAGCATATTATTACGTGCCAGGGACTCTATGAGATGATAGGACAATAGTCTGAGATCCATAATTGGCAATAAGTAACGGCAAAGCAATTATAAGCGACTCACAGAATTGTGCGCAGTTGCGTACAACGACTTCCCTGAAGGCATTCACTTTCAGCGAGCGCGATGCCGATCACACAACGCGGTTCGAATTCAACCCTCGATCGATGGCTGCGCCATCGCCGCACACGCGTCGAATAAAAAGCAAGGGACAAACTCCTTACTTACTAACAACTCCTCTATCATTTTTCATTGCTGGAGGGGTTGCCCCCCCCCCCACCTAAAAAACCTGGCTCCGCCATTGCCCAGGTGCCATGGGTTTACTGACCGAGATCGCTGGCAGATGTACCACCTGTGCTCCTATCTGTGCCAACTTTCTGCGTTTTAACCCCCCCGGCGCTCTGCCCGTTGCGAGCGTTGCTCATCTGCCCTCCGCTGTTGTTGAAGGGCGATCTTGACACCGCTAGTATCGTACCAGCCAACGGCAAGTCCACTCAGCTCAACATTCTCCCGTACCACATCGTTCCATTTCTTCTCGAGCCCGTGTCGCGCACGCTTAGCCCCCTCTGTCCGACCAAACAGAAGCCGCTTGGCCATGCGGTGGCTGGGCATGCGCCCTACATGAGCGAGCCAACGCAGCTTTTGCCTGCCGGAGGAAATCACCGATTGGACTGTGTCCAGATATTTGAATGATATGTGAGCTGACGCAATCCAGCCTGGTTAAACCAAGGATGGATCGTAGCGGAGGCTAGCCTCAATGTTTCAAACCGACGCAGATGTGCCTTTAGAGTCGTCCACGTTTCGCGAGCATAGAATATGTATTTATACTGGAGAAATCCGATGAGCTATAAAGCTCTTTTTCACAGATGTCCAGTTGGGCTAGGACAGAACGTTACAACAATAACAAAAACACGATAGGAGTGCAAAGTATAGCAAAAGTAAACACATCAGAAAAACAACTATCTTTATTTCATCAGATGAAGCCCACTGACATCGTCTCTTCTTTTGCAGAAGTGATCCGGTGACAAATGAGAGCTCCACGAAATTAGGTAAAAAAATGGACATTTATATCAGCCAGATAAAGATAAGCAAAGATCCCCCGTAAAGCATTAACAGACTGTAGGAGCAAGTGCTGTTAGCGAGCACCTATAAAGGACAGCACGGCACACGAGGGGGTGGGTGGCCAACACCCCACCCGTATCAGCCAGACATACACACAATCACACACACAGCCAGACATACACACACGCACACACACAGCCAGACATACACACGCACAGACACACACGCACAACAACAACAACAACAACCGCCATTCGCCACTAAGTGGCGGTGACGTCACCACGATGCTTGTGACAGGCCAAATGCACCTTGAGGCCACGTGAAGTGTCGAAAGCCCGCTGGCAGGAGGTCACGGGGCAGACCCAGCAGGTGCCACGGGTCGACTGACCGAGATGACCGAGATGACTGGCTGATGCACCACCTGTGCCCCCTACTGTGCCAACTTGCTGTGCTTTAGCCACCCGGCGCTCCGCTCGTTGTTGTGAGCGTCGCTCCTCCGCCCTCCGTTGTTGTTGGAGGGCGACTGCCTCCAACTGCCCAGTAGCGTCCTTCACGAGCCTCCTCCACTGAGGCCGATCTTGACACCGCTGGTACCAGTCATCGGCAAGTCCACTCAGCTCCACGTCCTCCTGTACCACATCACTCCATCTTCTTCTTTTTTTACTTCTGGTTTCGTATGGCCGCCTTTGTCTCCCTCGTGGTGATGTCCAACGCACCGCCCCACGTGCTCATTACGGCTGAGTCGACCGAGGGGAGGACCAGAAGCGATTCGCATACGACTCGCCAAGAGCATGATAGCGACGGACATAACAACAACATAATCAAGGTTTTTGGGTTATATCGCGTAAGTACAAATGTGTCGTAACCGTCCACCACCATTTAGTACGGGATTTGTCACGTAAACAAAACGCCAATTAGTTACTAGTATAGTGTATAGTATAGTGTAGTGTGTAGTGTATAGTGTAGTGTATGATGATGATGGAGTGTAGTGTATACTGTCGTGTATAGTGTAGTGTATAATGTAGTGTATAGTGTAGTGTATACTGTCGTGTATAGTGTAGTGTATAGTGTTGTGTGTAGTGTATAGTATAGTGTATAGTGTAGTGTATAGTGTAGTGTATAGTGTTGTGTGTAGTGTGTAGTGTAGTGTATACTGTAGTGTATAGTGTAGTGTATAGTGTAGTGTATAGTGTAGTGTATAGTGTGGTGTATAGTGTAGTGTATAATGTAGTGTATAGTGTAGTGTATAGTGTAGTGTATAGTGTAGTGTATAGTGTGGTGTATAGTGTATAATGTAGTGTATAGTGTAGTGTATAGTGTAGTGTATAGTGTTGTGTGTAGTGTGTAGTGTAGTGTATAGTGTAGTGTATAGTGTAGTGTATAGTGTAGTGTATAGTGTAGTGTATAGTGTCGTGTACTACTTCAGACTACCGGTGTGTTGGAGAGCAAATCCACAACATTTACAATTTTAGTACCGTGACGTTTCGCTGGTAATTATATAATTCCATCCAGAATTAAGGGGCCGTTTTTCCCGGAATAGTAAATCAGTACCTAATTTTGGTCTCAAACTTAAAAACCTGCAACAATGAATCACGTCCCTCACATCGTCATACTCTCACGCGCGCGTGCCCGATTGCGAAATTCGCTTTGCTTGATCGTGGCCCTCGTGCAGCTTCCACGTTTTCTCCGTTCGTACGGCGGCTGCCGATGCAGATGAAGAGCCAACGACTGTTATTTCACATTCAGGCGGTCGCGAGCCACAGATGACCGCGTCAGGAGCTTGCGGAGTAGCGGTATCGTCGCTGTGATGTCTCCCTCGTATTTGGGGATCGAGCATTGCGTCGCCACGCGTTGTACGGTCTGTTCCGGTGATCACAGTAGCCGTGTCTGCCACGGTGGGTGCAGTGGGTGCGGCGACGTAGGGTGGACCGCGAGCTTCGTGAAAGATCAAACCCAAAGGATCTTCTGCGTGAAGTGCGCTCCCAATTTTATCTTTGGGGCCGTCCATAAATGACGTCACGCAGCTAGGGGGGGGGGTCAGACATTTGTGACGATGTGTGACGAGGGGGGGATGAGAAATGTGACGTCATATCAAAATGCGCAACTTTAAATAAATATAGACAACACGTTCTACTTAATTAAATAGACTTTTTAATACATTTTTTCTCCTACAACATCAGAGTGCAGCGCCACATTAAATACGCACTACAATGACAATAGCTTAAAGCGATTTGAGGCATGTTATATTTTAAAAATGGAAATATTGGTTTTGTGACGTCATATTTGAGGGGGGATCTGACTTTTTGTGACGCCGTGTGACGAAGGGGGGGGGGGGTCAAAAATCGTCAAAAATCGCGTGACGTCATTTATGGACGGCCCCTTTCCAAACGATGGCAAGGTCCGAGTTGTAGTCGCGTTGCCAGCGAGCAGAGTGGCAAAGTTGCTCGGGATTTGCCGAGCAGAATCGAGGCGAGTTGCATCGCCTGCGATGTCGACTGGGACTCGGAGCCCTTGGC